TTCCTGGCTCTTACCATTGCCTTCATCCCATTTTTTTGTTGCTCGCATTTGCAAAAGTGAAATTCCATCTACCACACCCAAACCTCAGTGCAGTTTTGATTTTTAAATCACACGTGTATCCTGCATATAGCTGCTAAAGGAGCCTTACACAGTATTACACTATTGGAATAAACACTTTATTTTTACTTTATTAAGCATATATAAAAAGTAGTAAGCTATTTTAAGCATCACCTACCAGCTAGATAATTCCTAATCTATGTTTTACAGCACTAACTCTTACATTGCTGCACTGGGGAGGACAAGCACCGATGTTCCAATGATTATTAGGGCCTATGTAACTTTTTGTAGCTTGTATTTAAAAAGTAGTATTCCCAGTTTAACTTACACAGGATTTTACAGTGCTGAACTCTGACCCCTCTGTTCAACAGTCTCTATAAAAGCCACCTGGCTCCAGCACATTACAGAGTTTTCACACAGCACCTCTACAGGGCAAAGACAGTTTCTCCACATACATACATTAACTGTACAACAAGAATTTACTCATCATGTAACTGAGCTAAGTGCTCATTAGCCACAGCAAATGGTACACAGGGCCAAGGTTATCTGCCTGAGACTGACCTTTCTGAATATCATGCCTCCAAAATAAACTGCACCATCTACAGTGTTTGATGTTCTGGTTAATTGGAACCTCTTTTTCTTACGTTTTGTCAAATGCGGTAAATGTCACTGCAAATTTTAAGTGACAAGTGCTTGGAAGACATTTAATTTCCCAGTGGCATGTGACAAACTAAAGCACTGGTTGCATTATGCTTGTTAGAGCTGATCTCAAAGGTCCGAGGATGTGTAACGTAACGAGGATGTGTGGAATGTTCATTTGCACATGAGCTTCTGCCCTCTGACCTCAGCAGTAGCTTCATTTATGAAGATGTGTAACGGGGTGACTGCAAAATTAGCTGCGTAGAGCAATAAAGGCATAAGCAGTGAGCTGGAAACTCATGACCAACAGCAGACTCTGCTCCAGCCTGGTTGCTTTACCTCAAAGAGCCCAGGCCAGGTAAAACCTCTCAAGTCAAAGCAACCTGTGTCAACCCTGCGAGCTGAACAGAAACCCACATGCTAGCAGGATGGGGTATATTCACATACAGCTCATAGTTTTGATCCCTACCTTTCGCTCCCCCATCTAAGTAACTTTAGATATAGGAGGACTGAATCCTGTCCTACAGAAAAATAACTGCAGATCTTGACATGGATCAGGATCTTCATTCTTACCCTGAATCTCACAACTGGGGTCTCTAGGAGCCTCTAGAGTATCTACAAGCTAGAGCTTCTGAAGTACTGTTCTGTATTGAGAATTTCTTGAAGTAAAAACTCTCTTTTCCATCTTGGACTAAGAGTTTATCTCCTTCCTGACACACTATACTTACCACAGTCCAGTAGACTACAACAGTAATTAAAAAAATAACCAAAGGAAAATGTATCTCAACAGAGATGACATTTAGACAACCTGTTTTGGTTTTGTTTTTTTTTTTTTTGCTACTTTATTATTTTCCACACTCTGTTACCTCTGCACAACCCTGTTCTGTTTCCTCTTTAAGCTTTCCATAATTTAATAGACATAGTCTCTTTGAGTATACATAGTTATTTACAGCAGCATACACTCAAATGTCAAAAGGTAAGTTTTAGCATTAGCTGACTGCTCTTAACCCTTGTCTTAAACACCAGAGCATGAGACTGAAAAGTCCTTAATTGGGGTAAGCATTACTTAGCAACAACTGAAAACATGGGTGTGTTACCAACATTGTTCTCAGGCTAAAGTTGAAAACACAGCACTGCACTAGGTACTAAGAAGGAAAAAAATAACTGTTACAGCTGAACCCAGGACAGTAAGAAATAACATAGAGACTGATAGCACAACAGCAACATTCTTGTCTTACACCTGAGGCAACTCTCCTTCCTCAGCTGAGCACAGAGCTTACTTTGCCACCTAGATTCCTGACCTTAGCACCCTGCAGTCAGTACCACAAAGCCACAGGCTGTCATTTAACAATGCATTAGCATTTCACCAATTCAGAAGAAACCTTATGATACATCCATTTCGTGATGAACACATCTGCCCCCCCCCTCCACAACCTCCCCCCAGACCAAGACCACAGATTTCTCTGATTTCTTTCAAAAACCAGTAAAATTAGGTAAGTCTTTAAGAAGCAATGGATGCATTTTGTAAGCATTCAGGGCTCTTTTAGTCTTAAATCATCTCCACAGTAATTTTTTCCAGAAGAACATCTGCTGTGGCTCACACCAAAGAACCACCTAGCCCAGCATGCTGTCACAGAGGCCAGAAGCAGACACCTTGTAAAGGTACAGGAATAAAGCAGGCACATGGGGACACTTACTCAGAACACGCTCCCAGCCCTTAAGAACTTGTAACTCTGTGACTTCTTGAGCTCAGGATGGCTTTTTTGAGTTTAACAACTCCCCGTGGGTTTCTCTTCCAAGCACTCATACAGACATCTCTCATGTGTGACAAGCCATCACTCACTCAATCAAACCTATCAGCAAACCTGTGTTTTGGTCACTGGAGACCTCCATAGCTGCCCCTCCCTGCTCAGCCACACCTTCCATCTCCAACACATAAAGTCATCTCTGTATATCAATGCAGACAGCTTGTCTAAAGATCCTCTGCCATTCAAACAAAGGTCCCTGTCCCCTCAACACAAAAAGATGGACAGCAGACATAGGACAGAGAAACCCTCATCCTTAGGCACAGTTCTACACTTGGAAGCCACTGTGGCATTGGAAGATGCTGGCAGACATTGGTATGGCAGCTACCCTGGATGGGTCCCACCTTCATCTTCTCACAGTAATCCTGAGGTCCTCACCCAAGGATCTGCTGTCAGCACAGTGTTTAAGGTACATGGTGTGACTAAAGGCACCACTGGGACTCTTGTCCTTGGCCTGTGTTCAGAAAGGACACCAAATTGCACTTACCCTGGTGAAGATTCAGCCTGTGCCTTGGAAGAGCTGAAAATATGTTTTCCCTTTGGTGGTGGCCTACAGGTCATAAATTATTATTTTTCTATAACCATTCTGTTACCCTCTTTTGCAGAGCCTCAGATCCCTCAACTGGGAGCATCCCACATGGAACCACTGGTAGTAGACACGAGTCTAAACCAAAGCAGACACAACATTATCAAGAGAAACCCCAAGAGAGCTATTCCCTTCATTGCTGCATTTATAGCTCCATTTAGAGCATAGAGAAACCCAAGTTTCAGTCCCATTCCTGCTACCCAGTGGGGAGAGCCCCTCCCCTAATCAAATGGAGCCTGCAGCCCTCCTTGACTGTGTACATAGGAAGAGTGATTAGTTCTTATTTTCTTTCTGTGCAAAAGTGGCACCCCCGAGCAGGGGCCAATTCTTACAGAATCGAGGTCCCAGCACTGTGGATTCCAAGCACTCTGACTTTGATGCTGTATATCGTCTCCTGAAACAAGCATACCCTGTTCAGGAGTACCCCTTCCTCCCATCCTGCTCTGATCAATCCTAAAATTATTTCTGACAAACCTCCTTCCTATTCCTGTCCTCATAACTTCCTCCATCTCTCTCCACAGAGTGATGCTGTGTCTTAAGAATTTAATTCCTGTAGGAGCTCTCTGGAGCCAAGCATCTTTATTGCTCTGCAAGAAGATAAAAAGCAAAAAGCAAGGAAAGAGGAGAGGTGGAAAGTACTTATATACCCTCACTGCAAGGTCAGCCACTAATATGCTATGAAACTATTAACAAAGAAACTTAAATTTAACATGTCCCTTGGGGGAGATCATGTACATTGCTTATACTCTGTCTCCTTTCTTGATCCATCCCTTCATCTCTGTGCTGACTCCTGACAGAACAGACCTAGTGTGATAGGTCTGAGAAAGCCTGCCCAACTGAGAATGCTATATGGGAATTCAGCAAACATCTGATCAACACCCCACTGACTTCCCCTTTCTCCTTTGCTCCGTCTCCATTTGGATCTGGATTCCATCTCTACCCTATTCAGTAGGTGACCTGCATTCATTGCATCCCTTCTCTAGGCAGCTTCTTACATTATTCTAGGCACTCAGAGGCTGGTACCTTTCCTTTTCTACAGAAAATGAGGACCACAAACACAGTGCTTCCAGTTGTAAAGACTGCTCAGCCTGCAGCGAGCCTTGGTGCCTAAGCACCAGGATCAGCTACCTGGCATTTCAACTACCTGCTTCCTCCATTCAGACTCCATAGAGGCTCCGCCACACAACTTGCCTTGAACTCCCATTTCTTCCACACCCAATAGCACAATGCCTGGGCTCTGACTGCTGGACATGCAAGCAACAGACAGGAAAACACTAATTCATTCCATAGACTCCCTCTTCCACATACTGTCCTGGGTTCAGCAGTAGCAGTCATGTTTCTCCTTCGTGGTAGCTGGTGCAGTGCTGTGTTTTGACTTCCAGCCTGGGAACAGTGCTGGTGATACCGATGTTTTCGGTTGTTGCTAAGTGATGTTCACCCTGACCAAGGACTTTGTGAGGCTCGTGCTCTGCCAGGGAGGAGGGGAAGCCGTGAGGAAGCAGAGACAAGGCGCTTGACCCAGGCTAGCCAAAGAGGTATTCCATACCACAGCACGTCATGCCGAGGATGTAACTGGGAGTTACCTGGAAGGGCTGGGACTGCAGGGTTGGAGGAGGTATGGGTCGGTGCTTGGTCGGGCTGGGGGGGGGCGAGTTATTGGTCAGCTGGTGGTGAAATGTTGTATTCTCTTCCCTTGTTATTTCCTTTATCATTGTTATTATTGGTGGTAGCAGTAGTGATTTGTGTTATACCTTAGTTACTAAACTGTTCTTATCTCAGCCCGTGGGAGTTGCATTCTTTTCAATTCTCTGCCTGGTTTTAAACCATGACACATACAAGTTGGCAACAATCTCCTCAGTCACATGCATACCAGCAGGTTTTTGCTATAGCAGGGCAACTCTTTTACTCCCTCACTAAGCCACCTTACAGAACAAAATCCTGCACATCTCTAGCAATTGTGTTTACTCAGACATAATTTATTTTAAGCCTGCCCTTTTTCCATTCTGCCTCAGGTCTAGATCAAGTCAAGTAGAGCAACCCTAACCAGAAGCAAGAGCTCTCTAAAACCTCTATTAGCCAAGTGGAGGCTTTTGAACAACTGAGAGAAAGCCTCTCTAATGAGAGCTTTCCTTCCAGCTCTTTGATGAAGAGCAGTGGCCAGAACAGCAAAAGTGACAGAAATGCTCTTACATTTAGCCTGTGTAGCCAGCCAAAGCAACCGCCATTGAACTGCATGTTACATGCTTGATGCATGATGCAAGTAAGACAGAAACCTTGGAATGGGAAGGCAGAACTCTGCACCACAGTGCTGCCCATTTTTTACAGCAGTTACCCCCGAAATGTTGTATGTACAGTCTACAGAACATTGTGGCCAGAGTTTCTGGCTTTGAGGTCTGTATCACAGATGGTTTATCTGAAATAAAATGGTAGCAGGATAGAACTGCACACGTTTCCTTTGTTAACAGGAGCAAAGAAAGGAAGGGAAAAGACGTACACAGAGTAATGAAAATATAGCAATAGAAGCAACCGCAAATAAAATACAACTCTGGGTGAAAGCTGAGGTCATTACCATGTACTTAACGTTAAGGATTTTTAGGAGTCAGCATAACGGGCAGGAGGAGAAGGGTTTACAGTGTGTGGTTTCTGAGATCAGCAAGTGGGAGGTTCCTTTATAGCAAAAAAACATCATAAAATCACAGAATGGTTCGGATTGGAAAGGACCTTAAAATCATCCAGTTCCAACCCTCTGCCATGGGCAGGGACGCCTCTCACTAGACCATGTCTCCCAAGGCTCTGTCCAGCCTGGCCTTGAACATTGCCAGGGATGGAGCATTCACCACTTCCTGGGTTAACCTGTGCCAGTGCCTCACCACTCTCACAGGAAAGAACTTCTTTGATCACAACAGCACTCTTCTGGAAGAGACAAGTGGTAGAAGCCTCGGATCCTTAGAATCTCAAAGAAGCTCTTGGAATTTACACACCCTACTGCTATGGTAAATGCAGCATCTGACACCCCTTCTGAGCTACAACAGTCAGTGGTATATACTGGATACCTAGCCACCTCTGCTTTAAACAGACTCTACTGACTTCAAGCATAAAAGGCATTACTTCTCAGTAGTGTTAGCTTTACCTAACGGAGCTGAATCCTTTGTGGCCATCCACAGGTTCAAATAATCTACAGAATTTTGACAGATTCTGTAACTTACTAAGAACTTTGCAAACTAACAACACACTTCAAACAAAATGTGATCTTAGGACACAGGAAGGCTCTGCTCCCAAGTCTGTCACCAACTTGTGTGGACCTGCTAGAACACAGCCAAGTCACATTCAGTTATTTTCCTTGGGGAGACTTCATAGCAGATTCCAGTACTTAAAGGGGACCTATAAGAAATCTGGAGAGGGACTTTTTACCAAAGATTGTAGTGACAGGAGAAGTGGGAATGGCTTTAAACTGACAGAGGGAAGATTTAGATATTAGATATTAGGAAAAAATTCGTCACTATGAGTGTGGTGAGACACTGGAGCAGGTTGAATTCTCCCAGACTTGAGTATAGCACATCCAGTAAGCATTACCACTTACAGCACATACATCCTACTGAACCCAAACTCAAATACCTCACTTAGCAGAGATACTAAAAATTTAATTATTCAAGGAAAATTATTCAAGGAAATAACTTCCTTTTTGACAAAGCTTCTGGAAGCCAAAGTTCACTTTAACCAATGTAAGGCATTAGATGCATCCATAATGTTCTGCAGACATGCACTGCTTCACCCCACTCTGAAAGCTGTGCTGTGTTCAATAGCTAGTGCTGGAACACAATTAGTTAGACAAGTTGAAACAAGCGCTAAATACTCACCGTGAACAGCCACTTCTGTCTTCTCCAAACCATCTATAGTCAGAGGGTTAATGTGTACACTCTGAACCTATAAAAATGGACTTGAATATAAGATTTTGCTGCCTTCGTGCTGTCAGCTAGGATAATTTTTTAAGTCATCCGCTGCTGTATGTTACACATAATTGAAAAAATTATTTTGGATAGACATTACAATGCTCCAGTGACATTTCTTTCACTTGAACAGCATTATCTGTAACAACATTCATCTTCCCCATGATTTGGAACTGTAGATATTGTTCTAACCAAACAAATGCCCAGCAGTGGACAGTTAGCCTTGCCTTTATTTTCTCCACCAAGGTTGCCCAAAGAAGTAGGAAATGTAGTAAATGCTCCATCCCTGGTAGTGTTCAAGGCCATGGTCTAGGGTGAGGTATTCCTACCCATGGCAGGACACTTGGAAGTAGATGATCTTAAGGTCCTTTCCAACTCAAACCACTCTATGATTCTATCAAACATTTCTCAGGGAAGTAGAACTTCCCTCTGTACTAGGCTCTTACATCTTTCCTACCACTAGTTTATGTATGTAAAAAGATCCATCAGCTATTTCTTCCACTGAGAGAACAGCCACCTCATGTTTTCCTGAAATTATCATACAGATTGCTTAGAGTGAGTAATACCATTTTCCCTATTTAGAAGTCAACAGATGTTTAATACTGCATGTTCTGTTTAGCCTGATTTGTGTCATGCTCGAGGTGTCAAAACCAAGAGACTAGCCACAGGAATAGCTGATGCTCCTGTATTGGTACCACAGGACACCCAACAGCCACGCATTGCAGCAAGTTGAGACATCAGCAATGAGGTATATTCTGATTTCCAGCTAGGTGCTCTTGTGGAAACCAAGGCAACACAGGAGGGCTGAAATCCAAAACTTTGTTTTCCTTGTTAAGTGCTAGCTAGCTTGTCTGCACAAGAACCTAGGCAAGGCCAGCTAACTGAAAAGCAGCCCAACAAGAGGGATAACACTGTAAAACACACTCGACCCCCCCACCCTCCAGTTTGTTCTGGAATCCCAGTAAACTGGCACCTCCTCACACATCTAAACCAAAGCTGCAGAACAGACTAGTCAGATGTCAATCCTTGAGCACAGTCAGTGTAAAGCTGATGAGAGTAACCTACTTTATTACACATGAAATCAAACTCCACTTTTCCTGGCCTAAATATTTATGACTGAAGATACACAATAAAATTATTAACCCAGAGATACCAGAGGTGGTTAACCCAAGTCTAAGCCCTTGGAAGAAGACTCCCTGACACACAGCTACCAGACCAGTTTGGAGCAATGTAAACATCTCTGTGGGTCCATATGGCAAAGAGCGGTACCTAGGATTTGAAAATAAAGAAATGTTTAGGGAACATTTACTCTCCACCTTGTCTAACATCACATTTTCAAAAGTTCCATTGTCTTTCAGTGTTAATCTACCTCTCTGTGCAGATACCACATTTCCAGAGACATTAGCCAGAAACTAACGTCCCTCCGTTAGTATGTAGCATCATGACGTACCCTGGCCCAAAGCACTTAAGAACATAGTCAATCACCTGCTCAGAATTAGGCCAGTACCAGAGTTCTTTCTCTCACCACAACTGTATTTTCCTTCCTCCTGTCATATTTCCCAGGACAGCTAAACGAACACAATGAACCACATAAATATGTGGCTCTGCAACCTTGTAGACTGAATTCCTGCTATTCTACAAGTTAAAGGCTCCTCTATGCTCCTATCTCTTAAAACCTAATAAAAATTATTTACAGTCTCTCTGGGCTATCTGGTTTAAGTCTCTCCAGCTCAAGTATGACACTTCCTGGGACACTATTAGGTTTCTTACGGTGCTCTGACTAGCAATCACATCTGTACCTGACTGCCAGGAGACACTCTTGGCTGAGCTAGCCACCTTGGTCTACTGCTGAGAGCTCTGAAATTTCTCAATTGAAACATTTGAAAGTTAATGAACCCTTCTGATATAAAGCTCACATAGCTCAAGAATTCTTTCATGAGCCTGACACATAGTGGATGCGGAGGAAATCTGTATTTCAGGCAGGCCTCTCTTTTCAAAACACGCCAAGGCAGGAGGCCGGGCTGACAATCAAGAGCAAAAGGCATGACCCGCAGGTCTGCATGGCTCCACCATATTATACAACACTCAAGGCCACAGCAAGTGCCAGTAGCTTTTCTACAGGTAAAGCTACTCCTTTAATTCATGAATTGTAGCATGAAAAAAAGACAGCTCACTGAAGAGCTATTACTCGAAAGCAGCTTTGAAGACACTTGTACACAGGCTCAGGATTAACCAGGATACTGTGAACATATGACAAAGCACATGTAATTTTTTTCCCTTCTCATTGTAATGAAAACCGCCATTGCCCCTGGGGTAGGGTGGATTTTTCCCACCTCTCACAGACAGAAATGCAGTGCTTTCAACAAGGCCAGCAATAAATCACAGGTACTCACTGGATGAATGCATGGCTGTTACAAATGCTAAACCTCTCTCTGGAAACAGACATCAAGTCACAGCCGCTGTCCAAATGCAGAACAAATAGCAATAGAAAACCCCCTAACTCTCAAGTCAGCTACAAAGAAATGTCATAGGGAAAAATAAGCTTTTCAAAGCAACAATCTACTTAAGTGAACTTTCATTTGCACCTTGGCTTGTGTTTCAGGGACACCTTTTTGCCTTGCAGAACTTACACCTGAAAGCAGTGGCATCTAGAAGCAAAGCCCGGCCACTGTACTCTCTGCAACGCCTCTGTCCCAGAAGCACAACCTGCTTCCATGTTGTGCTCATTTCAGTTACCCATTCCCCTCACCTGGAACCCTTGCCTGACTGACACTGATACCATTGCACTTGACTCGATCCTCCCCCCGCAAACACACACACATAACAAAGTGCAGGGCAGGCTGGCCTATCACTGCAGTGGAAGAGGAAGGGACTGGCTTTTGTCTTTTGGGTTTGGGGGGTTCTTTTTTCCCCTCTTTTTAATTGCTAAGCCTATAATTGGGGTTGAGAACAGGGAGGGGGAAGGGAAGAGAATCTGGTGAACAGCTGGGGCCCATCACTTCTCATTGCAGGTCTTTGAGAGATGTGGTTGACAGAGTGATGCACAGAAGCTGTCCCAGTTAATGACTTCACCATTCTCCATCATTATCCCCATCATTTGGAAATTAGGAGGACAGAAGGTATTTACTGTAAACCTGCCACCTCCCAAGGAGAGATAAATAGAAACTGATAAATGGGATCTTCTGGTGCTGTTCATCTATTAACCTTCTGCTTCCCAGTTTAGGCATGTGCATGCTATCCTGCCATTAATATCCAGTAATTGGCATACCAGTAGGTAACACAACCTTACTTTTGCATATGAACATCTCCTGTGCAACATGCAAGTGCACAACTACACCTCCAACACAGCTCTGCTAACCAGGGCAGCACAGATCTCCCGTGCTGTTGCCTGCACTTTAGGTCTCAGGTCAGAACTACCAGCGAGACCTCGTGGATCTTGAGGCATCAGTCTGGTCATGGAGCAGGGTTAGGAGAAGGAGAGATGGGAAGAGAGGTGCACAGGACCTCCCCTCCAAAGAGGTCAACACAACAGCAAGTGGATACGTTTGCACCTCCAACTGAGCTGTGATCAGTTCTGCCAGCTTACCTCTAAATACAGCTCACAAACGCCTCCAGGGAAGAAGGGAGTCCCGCTTCACTGCTTTCACTCAACACCAAGGGAAGATGGATTTTCCTCACTAGCTTGAAGCAAACTGTTCTGCAAAATGTTAAAAGCAAGCTTCAGAGGGCTCAGAACTTACGAATTTACTTTCTGCGTCAAAAAGCCAGTGTCTCAGTGACTTCTTTGACTAATATTTCTGCAGCTCTCCCTCACTGCAGGTGAGGAGCGTTCTTCCACCTAGAAGTTCACACCTCTACCCAGGAAAACCTCAACCCACTGCTGTTTTCTCCATGTACTACTTGAGATTCTTAACTGCTTTTATTTACCCTACCTCTAGGCATTTCCCTTGCAACCACTATTAGTTCCAAGCTCACATGATGTGCAGGTAGCTACAACTCAGAGACGATACTACCTGCATTTCTGACAATTAAGAAGTTAAGCCACAAGATTCCATCAACTCTGACACAAGCCTTAAAAGATTCCCACATTATTATGGTAATGTTAAACAACATCTAAACTTTCCCAGAAGCTCAGGAAAAACAGAGGGCCTGTTCTTACATGCACCATCCTAGTAAACAGGTGACCTGCTCTATGTTCAACAGACAGCTCCAGTATCTTGGAAAGCAAGTATTTCTCTCATTTTTCTCTTCTAAGCTTTGGTAACATCTGCAGCTGCACACTCATCTCCAGGAAACACTTTTCAGGACAGAAGCTGACAGTCCTAGTCTCAATTAATTTAAGCACAGAAAAAGAAGTACTTGCTCCTTTCAAATATTTAGAGTACATACAGAAAAAGAAAGAAAGGGAAAATAAAAATGCCAAAAACTCTATTGCTACTTCCTGATGGAGGCTTCAGGACCCAAGAGAATCTCTGCTTACAAGAGACAAAAAAAAATTTCATGGCAAGAGAAGGCCAGGGGAAATACTGAGAAACCAACACTGTTACTGAAGAACACTTTGCAGAACCTGCTTGTGTGTGAAAGCCACCTCTAGTGCTGCCATTGCAGGGAAGCCCCCTTGAGTCACAGTTCATCCCTCCCAGCCTTACTGGGAGGTAATACACTTGGTGCATTTGGTGTTGGAAGACGTGTAAATATCTTCCCCAAGTACACGTCTTCAGTGCAAACAGGCACAACAATTCTGCCTTGTTGCAGCCTTTCCTCTTTCATGTAAGGCAGAGGGACATTTTGGCAACAGTGGGAAAATCCCAGCTACTGCTACACATTTTAAGGCTTCCCACATCCATCAGATTTAAGAAAACAGTACTAGAAAACTACCCCTATTTGAATACAGTTTGTGTAGGGGACCACTGAGCACAGGTACCTCCTTGCCACCCCTGCTGTCCCTTTCCAAAGCCAGCCTAGTGACTGGAACCCACCACAAAGCCACTCTCAGGTGCCTCACCTAACCCACTGCTCACACAGGAACCCAGAACAATGACTCTTTCTTAATCCAGTCTCATCATCTTTGCCCACCATCTAAAGGTGCACAACCTTGCACAGACAGACAGTGAGTACACACAGAATGTGGTACCACTGGCTGGTTTGCAGGTAGGAGTTGTGTTTGCTCCTTCTGAATACACTGTCTTGTACACACCAATTCAGTGCAGGAGACTAATGAAAATGAGACTGTGATAGTGAGCTCTAATGGTAACACAAGTATTAATTTCCATCTGTCTAAGCAACTGGCAGTGTCCATCAATTATGGCTATAGCCAACTAACAGTTGCAGCTGCAAAATTAAAAAAAAAGCAAAATTAAAATTTCAAGATACTGTCATTCACCTGAATTTTTTTACAGTTGTAATTAGCAAGCTGCAGAAGCTGTCAACAATCAACATCAGCCAATCTGTCTGCACCAAGAACCCGACTGCTTGCCAGAAATTGTCTTGGACAGGGCTTTTTTTTTCCCCCTTGCTTCCTCCCATTAATTTTTTTTTTCCTTCAAGCCTCCCTAACACTCTCATCTTCTTTACCACCAGTCAGTACAATTGAATGTCTCAAAACTGAAACAGACAGTATGACTGACATGTAACTGATATACTCACAATTATTTCCTTTCTTCAAATCTCAGTACGAAAACATGCTGCCATCTCTTTCCCCATGACTCTGCTTCCCTGCCTGTACAGGAACAGTACTGCAAGCCCTTCATAATGATAAAGGGCCTGGAGCACCTCCTTTATGAAGACATGCTGAGAAAATTGGGGCTGTTCAGCCTGGCGAAGCTGCATGGAGACCTCAGAGCAGCCTTCCAGTATCTGAAGGGGGGCTATAAGGATGCTGGAGAGAGACTTTTCATTAGGGACTGTAGTGATAGGACAAGGGGTGATGGGTTCAAACTGAAACAGGGGAAGTTCAGGTTAGATCTGTGAGGGTGGTGAGGCACTGGGCACAGGTTCCCCAAAGTAGTGGTAAATGCTCCACCCCCGGCAGTGTTGAAGGCCAGGCTGGACAGAGACTTGGGTGACATGGTCTAGTGTGAAGCAACCCTGCCCATGGAAGGGACCCATGGAACTGGATGATTTTAAGGTCTTTTCCAACCCAAACCATTCTGTGATTATGATTCCTGAAATCTGCTCAGGCAGGATGTGCTCTCCCCATCAAGGATGCTAAGCAGTGACAAGACCTTAATAAAAATGGCCTTCTGTGAGTAAAAGCACTGGGAGATCTTTCTCTTTCCTCTGAACCAAGAAATACCAAATTTTGTGGGGAAGTATAAAAGCACATTTACAGCCACACCATGGTAGTTGTCTTTAGACTTACCCTGGTCTTGCAGACTGACAAAATGAAATTATATGGCTTGCATCTTGATTACAGGAATCATAGAATCAGCTAGGTTGAAAAAGACCTTTAAGATCATCAAGTTCAACATTTACCTTAAAGGTTTGGATCTGCTGAATGAATTTCAGAGAAAAACAGCATTTTGATGAATGCTGTCCACCTTTAAAAGCAAAAATAAACATGGCATTGGAAAAATAGACTTCAGGAGAAAAACAGATCTTCAGCATTTTCATTGAAACAAACGTTAAAATGCTTTTATTCTAAAATTGCACAAGCAAAAGCTTCAAGCCATTTCTAACACATAGGTCGTGGACCACAGCCACATTTGCTTTGAACTCACTGGTTTGTCCTGCAGCCTTTGCTCATGGGATGCCATTCCTCACCCACCAAAGGCCTCAGCCCACAACACCTCACCATCACACAGCACCTTCATGATACCTCAGGGCCACGTCGCCTCTACTTGGTGTCTCCATACTCTTCCACACCTTAGGGCCTACAGGTGCAGCTTTGTCCCTCAGGAGCGTTTGAACCACCCGACTCCAGCAGGCTCGACTCCAGCAGGCAGGGGACAGCTCATCCCCTACTAAGAAGAGTAAACCCAAGCAGTTCAGGGCAGGCTTGGGACTACTTCATCAGGAAATGCAGGTTGTTTCCTTTGTGTCAAGTAGGAAATGTAATGAAGAAACCTAAAATAAAAAGATGTTCAAACAGATGATTTGTTTTTCCCTTCCTGCTTGTGAGGCCTTTCAATTGCTTTTACAGCTGATCACTGTATGCTGTCACAGCCACAACACTGGGACACTGGGGAAGGGAACAGGCTGGTTATATGGGGATTACAACACTCTGGCCTGTTCAAGGACATGGTGAAAACTTCAGTGAAAAAATAACTTAGTGAAAAAAAAAGTAAAAAAGTAATAAGTGAAAAAATAACCTGTAGAACTGGAAATCAGAATTTAACAGATCATAAATAATTTAATTCAAAACACTTAAAAGTACCCTTTAAACATAAAAGGAACATTTTCACTCTACTATATTAGGTTTTGGGGGGCTCTTTTGTTAGTGCTTAGTTTCCTTATACTCTTCATTCTTTATAGTATTTTCGAAAGGAAGAGGTTTGGGTGGGTTTTTTTTTTTTCAGTAGGGGCTTGTGGAGGTTTTCACCTTTCGAATTTTCCAGGATTTTTCTGAAATAACAGAAGCAAAATGATGAATTCCATTTATTAAATCAGTAGAATTAGGATCAAGACTCAATCAAGTACTAAGCCTGTACGATGTAGTTTCATCTGTGCAGTCAAGACGCTTAAATGCCCACTGCCTAATCCTTGCCAAAAAAGTGAGGATAAATATTAAGATGTCAATTTTACATGAATTAATAATTGTTTTGAAAAACGAGTTTGTTCTTTAACAGTACAATTAAATAGGTACTCACACCAGGTTTTGGAAAATCTTGAAAATCTTCAAGTCCTAAGATTCTCCTGACTTAAAATGAATCCTGTCAAGAGATCACTCACAGAGCAGGTCTTTGTGAATGAAGCCAGACACTTGTTGTATGGAATCAGACAAGAGATTCTTTACAGAAAATTTTTGAAAAGCACCTAAGGAATTTGTTACTGTAACCCCCAAGAAAATCAGCAAGATTTGTTTCATAAAGTGCCAGCCTTTTTGCAGACCCCTCAGCATTTCACAGGAGTTGCTTTTTTCTTGGTTTTGGAGGGGTCTTCTCCCATGGAAAATGATAGCTTTTTCTTTCTGTTCAGCCTGAATGTATTAATTTGTCTACAAATGGCACTTACCCAGAACCCCATTCCTGTTCTCTGTGTGATTACAAAAACCAGACCACATTCTGCATCAGCCTGGAGCTTGTAGTAAGCTGGCCCGTTGGTACCATTTTGTTATGAACACACCTTTCAGTAGTCCCAGCTCATTGCTTTCTCACACTGGTTTCTCCCTTGCTTGGTGTGGTGCATATTGAAGCAAGAAACTCAATCTCATGAACTGTTCAGTCATTTTTCTCTTCAGCTTGCACTGTACAGGGAACTCCAAGTGCATTTTCCACAGAGACTGTGTTTGCACTTTACTGACAAGGGTAAGGGCAGGTAAGAGCAAGTGCAGACAAAACATATCACCTGAGACAACCAAAGATGGCTGGAGTCTATGAGGAAGACAGTCCACTGAAAGGAATGCCATCTGATGGCTACGGGGTACTAAAGAGTGCCAATCTGCAGAGAAGGATGACAGAAATCATTGCTTTTGCCCAAACTGCCATCTTCCTTGATTAAAAAACATGAAAATGCAGCTCTAGAGCAACTTAACTGAAC